TGAAGGCGAACGGCTGGATAAAAATCAGGCCATGACTGCTCTCACACTAGGCCTGCGAGACCAGGCCTTAACTGTTCTAGAAGCTCTCGGTGAGGAAGTGACTTATGAGCAGCTCCTTGAGGCATTGGAGGCGAGATACTGCGAAACTCACCTGGAACACGTCTTTCGAGCGCAGCTTAAAGATCGCGTGCAGCGCATCAACGAAAACCGGCAGCAGTGGGCTCTAGAGGTGGAGAAGCTGGAGCGAAAAGCATACCGGTCTGCACCTGCGCTCATTGCAGGGAATCTGGTGCAGACATTCATTGACGGCATTCTCGACCTTGAAGTCAGAGCTGCTGTGAGGCTCGGGTACCACGAGACGCTTAAGGACGCTTTGGCTCATGCACTGGAGGTGGAAGCCGTGCGGCAGGATCATCATTCCCATCGCGTCAGGGAGGTCGCAGCAGCTACAGTTCGCGACCGCAATAAAGGATACAGCTCTAGGTGCTATGGCTGTGGGTAAAGGGGCCATCTTCGATCCAGCTGCCCTAAGCAAACCATAGAAAGGGAAGGTGAATGATCTCAGGAGGGTGGTACGGCCAACAGCACCACCCAGCAGCAGCAGGGAAACGAGTAAAAGCCAGAACTGCGGGGCGGGTGCTGGCTGATGTTAAAATAGCCCAAAGGATCTCGATCTCACAAACCCATGATGGGAACAGTCTAATCATCAAGGGCGAGGTCAACGGAATGCCGTGTAAACTGACCATAGACACTGGAGCCTCTCGTACGGTTGTTAGTTCCCAACTTATAAGTCAGTTCCTTGGGGACTCCGCATACAACCGAGAACTCTTTAATTTGGTAACAGCCACCGGTCAGCGTATAGGTACCCGTCCGTGGAGAAAAGGAGATGGAGTAGAAGTTAGGCAACGTGATCTATCTGCATAATGTCATCGTAGCTGATATAATGGACGACTGCATCCTGGGCCTAGACTTTATGAGGAATAATTGTTGTGAGATCGACGTTAAGCAAGGTGTTTTTAAATGTGGACAGGAGGAACTTTTTATGGAAGGTGCGTTACCAGGGAACGTGTACAACAGCGGTACTCTAAGTGTGTTCCGCGGAACCCTAGGGTTCCGTGATACCCCTGTAGGGGTTCCGCAAGAATTTAGAAAAAAATTAAAAACACCTCTCTCTGGGCACTGGTCGAACGTTTTGACTACGCCCGCCGCGCGTATACTTGTGAGCGCGCAGTCCCTTTGATAAGAGCCGCCTCTGAATTAGACGCTATAGTTGTGAATAAGCGACTTTTGGTTCTGTCTTCAAAAACATAAAGTCGAGATTGTTTATAACGCATTTTTTCGTATTTCTATTTTTATTTTCGCTTTTTGTTTATCAAAGGCGCCGACTCGAGTATTTTTGAGAATGTTCGAGTTCGAGTCCAGGACTAAGTATAAAAGCGGCGATCGCCCGTCGCGCCTCGTCAGTCAGTTGACGATAAGCGTTCGGAGCGTTAAATTCCTACCTACCTACTTACAAGCTGGCTAGCGAATTGCGGAGTTTAAACGTGATATGAAACTAGTGTTCATTGTTCTACTGCCTGCTGTATTCTGATTGTATCAGTTTTGTACATTTCTTCTTTGGGCTAAACTTTGTCTCATAAACCCAGTAACGATTGTGCATTATTTTGACGCGAACCTCAATCTCGTAACAGTATTTATTAATAAATAAATTATAAATTGTAATTTTTATAGTTTTAATTATTATTAATTATTACAAATATAAATTATTAATTGTTATTGATTTATTTTTATTATTATTTTATTTTATAATATTTCACCATTTTTTAATGTTTCTTTTTGTCAAAAAATAAAAAATTACTTCGCAGATACTACTTACCGATGGCAGCGTGGCTATAAATTCTACAAATTTTCAGGAATAGGCGGGATATGCTTGAGCACGTAGCGATCATTCTCCTGTTCTCTAGCCTCCATGCTAGATACCATAAAGGTTAGAGAACAGGAGAACGATCACGACGTACTAAAGCATAGCCCGTCTGTGCTTGAAAATTGTAGAATTTATAGCAGCGCTGACGTCGGTGAGTAGTGACTGCGAAGTTAGCTGTTTATGAGTACAAGTAGATGAAGTTAGTTGAATAATGTAAAAATTTTCTCCGCCACATTGGTGAGAAAATTTTCATGCTCCGTAATTTTGTAATTTTTGGCAAAAAGAAACATTAAAAAATGGAAAAATATTTTATTGTGTGTGGATGTGCGAGTGGTTTAGCATCTGATCGGAAAAATAGACTGAAAATCACTTTTATTGACCGAACTTAGCGATTGTACCGCCTCCGTTATGGTATCCATATTTGTGGAACACTATTTTCTACGACGATCGTTCTCCTGTTCGCTAACCTTCATGCTAGACACTCACGAGGACAGTTACTACGAGGGTGGATTGAAAAGTACTCGGCCTAACACAGATCCATTCAATTCTAAAAATCAAATCTACCCACATTATTTAGTTCAGTTCAGACTAGTTCATTGTGTGAAGTTCGAAACGTGTGTGATAATTAGTTGTGATTTTATAAATTTATTAACAAAGTAATCGGACATAATTTCCGCGAATGGAGCAAATCGAGCAGCGTGCCGTCATTAAGTACCTCCATAAGAAGGGGCTATCATCAAAAGCCATCCATGATGACATGGTCAGTACATTAGGCGATTGTGCTCTGTCATATTCATCCGTCAAAAAATGGATAGCAGAATTTAAGCGTGGTAGAGAGAGTGTGAAAGATGAACCCCGCTCTGGAAGGCCTTCGACGTCAACTACTGACGAAAATATTAAAAAAGTACTTGATTTAATAATGGAAGACCGCAGATTAAAAATTAGAGAGATAGCCGAGATTATAGGCATCTCTTATGAACGAACTCAAAACATCATTGTCAACGAGTTGGGTTTCCACAAGGTGTCTGCGAGGTGGGTTCCGCGACTGCTTTCAGTTGAACAAAAAAGGACGCGATTGACTATTTCACGCGACTGTTTGGAGTTATTTGAAGCCGATGCAGATGATTTTTTGAATCGTTTTGTTACTATGGACGAAACATGGGTTCATTACTGTACACCGGAAACAAAACAACAATCAAAACAGTGGAGAAGACCTGGTTCACCACCCCCTAAAAAGGCTAAGTCGATTTTGTCGGCAAATAAGGTGATGGCTTCAGTATTCTGGGACTCGAAAGGTGTGATTATGATTGATTATCTTGAAAGGGGTCAGACTATAAACTCTGATTACTACTGCACCTTACTACGTCGTTTACGAGAGGAAATAAAAGAAAAACGTCGAGGAATGCTCAGAAGAAAAGTCCTGTTTCATCAAGATAACGCCCGTGTTCACACGTCAGTACAGTCAATGGCTGAAAATCACAACTGTGGCTTTGAACTGTTACCGCATCCGCCGTATTCACCTGATATGGCACCATCAGACCTCTTTCTGTTCCCTAACCTAAAAAAGCACTTGGGAGGTCAAAGATTTTCGACAAACGACGAGGTCAAAGCAGCTGTAGACGCATATTTTGACTCTAAGGAAGAATCATTTTTTTTCAACGGTCTAAATGCTTGGAAGGGGAGGTGGCAAAAGTGTATTGAACTTGATGGTGATTATGTAGAAAAATAAAAATATAACTGATTTAGTATGTGTTTATTTTCTTGGTTAGGCCGAGTACTTTTCAATCCACCCTCGTATACTCTTTGGCTCACGATTGCAAATTAATAAGACCCCCCCCCCAACCAAGCCTTCAAATTTGGGATGTATATATAAATAAAAATACATATAGATGTATTTTTAATAGCACTCCACAAAATTTTTTAGTATATAGATAGCACCCCCATAGTCTATGAATAAATAATAGGTAAATATATATATATATATATATGTATGTATATATATATATATGTATATATATATAAATATCTTTTCAGATATATACAATTCGGTACTTCTTATAATCTAAAAAAAATTGCACCCTGCTTGAATCTAACTCCACCGTCACTAAAAAATGATAAAATGCAATATTATTTGTAAAAAGTTAATAAAACTCCATTTATCAGTAGCGATTATCAATCGCGAGATATCAATTTAGAAAACTTTGAAAAAACATTAGAACTAATTACTAAAACAGCACGTTTCATTTATTAAAGAAATAATAATATTTAGGTGATCAAGTCAAGGGCAAGAAATAAATTATAAAATGTTGGTACACACTGATTACTCGAGTGACTGGAACTTGGACACACATTGTTGCTTCTATTTTGTCGCTTAAATAATGGTTTGAAGTGGATTTTTATTCGTAAAAGTGATGTGATTTTGTGAAGTAAGTGTCTGCGCGTGTACACTATTAGAGAAAACGACGAAACCAGGGCTTTGATAAACCTCAAGTTATTTTGATCGCTTGGGCGCCTTATGACCTTGGGTGGCTCGTCGTTGGTGGGTCGTCATCAACTGTCCGCTGGCTTGAGCTGCTGCTGTCGTCAAAATCTCCCAAAAACTTCGCAACGTGACGCATCAGCATACTGTGAAGAAAAAATATATAAAAATGAAAATTCCGAAACGATAGGCTCAGAAGGGCTAGAATCCAGAGCCGAAAAGCCAGTTAAATAAAAAAGATGTGTTTCTATTCATAGACAAGAGTGGACATCATAGATTACTGATACTGACTATGTACTAGAGAGTGGACATCAGTATCTCTAGTATATATACAGTAATCTATGGTGGACATGTTTTTATTAATCTATGGTATAAAACGAAAGCGTGTTCAGGATTCACGTCTTCATATCAAATTTTTATATAATTTGTGATTAACTATTTTACGGTTTTGAATGCGATTATTAATCACAGAGTACTTTTTATATGCTGAAATTAGTAATTCACTATAACTGAAATCAGTCAATAGAATAAGCTGTTTCATTATCCCGGCATTTACTATAAACAAGTACAAGTATTACGATCAGTGCTTAACTAAAAATGAGTATGTTTGTTAATTTTTGCTTAATAATTTTATGTTTATCTTAGTGTATTATAAAACTCCTTTAATTATTTAGGTATTAAAATAATAAAAACAAAATTGTATTTCTAACCTTAAAAACAATAATGTACGACATACCACTAACTCCATGCAAAAGTTTCTTTTTTTATATTTTTGGGTATTCTCTCATACCAGAATCCGAAATGTCGATACCTTTTTATTTATTGCATCTGCTGAACATGTAATTATGATAACATAAAATTATCTTTTATTTTGTATATTTCAGCTATGGATATACGCCCTAATCACACTATTTACATAAATAATCTAAATGAGAAGATAAAAAAGGATGAGCTTAAAAAATCGCTCTACGCCATTTTTTCACAGTTTGGTCAAATACTAGATATTGTTGCGATGAAAACTTTGAAGATGAGAGGTCAAGCATTTGTTATATTTAAAGAAATTTCAAGTGCAACTGTTGCATTGAGAAGTATGCAAGGATTTCCCTTTTATGATAAACCAATGGTATGATTTTAATACTATTTTAGTAGTTTCATAAAGAACCTATTTTTAACTCCTGATCCAAACCAGGTGTTATATGTTTAACATGTGTGTCTTTTTAAATTTTCAATTTAAGATGCGTGTTTGAGCCAAATACTATGCTAGTTGATATTTGTGAGGTTTTTAGGAGTTATCTACTATACTATACTGTACTATTGATAACATGCATCTCCTCATAAAGTAAGCATTATTTTATTTTGCGATTGACACTAATGTATAGGCAATTTATTAACCTCTCAATCCCTAAGCGGTTGCATGCGACTGCCGTCCTATTCCGTCAATCCCCAAGTGGTTGCATGCAACCGCACCTGCCCACAGCACTTTAAACCATAAAAACTTACATTTAGAGACCACTTTTCTATGAAGTTTGGCATTATAGTATCTATATGTAATTCTCTATCCTGTGGTCTAAACAAAAGTCAGTTACAAGAAAAGTAATTCATGTAAGTTTTTATGGCTTAAATAATAAAATAAAAAAGTTTTTATGGGTGCGGTCTCATGTGACCGTTAAAAAATAAAAATACATAGAGTATAATTGAACATTTTTTACCATTAAATTGAGGCTATGAAGCTATTGACTGAGTGTTCGGCGACCATTAGAATAAGTTTACTAAAATGTAATTATTATTTTCATGTAAGTGGCATTGTTTGTCTTTTTTGAAAATAAATTTCCTTGAACTTAAACGTAAAATTGTAAATTTAACTAAATTTTAATGTTTTTGACGTTGCATCTGTCAAAGTCATCTCAAAATGCATGAAATGAATCACTAGGCCGGCTATTTTGTTGACAGTGACAGATATACTTTACGTCATTCTGTTGTTTCCGAGTTTACGTGAATGTACTCCCTAACGTTTTTATCTGCCTCTACCTGTTTTTCAAAGACTTCGCTACACCTCTGTATCCTTCTTTAGAAATGGTTGTAGCTATAAATTTTGTTTATAATTTAAAGTAATTTTAAAAGTTAATATTTTGGTGATTTATTGAGTGTAAGAGTGAGCGAAGCGAGCTCGGGACTTAGGTCACCCCGACTCTGACAAATTAGGATAGAAGGAGATTTCGGGGTTGAGTGAGTGACCAAATAGACCCTGTCATCCCCTTTGTGTTGATTTTTTCTAAACCACACAGAAGTAGGAGTCCTGCTATGCTGTGACTGGGCATTGCTTACATTTAGCACTATTCCTGTCCTTCGCAATTACTCTATCACTGTTTTTTTATGTTAAACAAAGTCTAACCATTTAAAATACTTAATTTCAGATAATTGACTTACATTTTCAACAACTTCGTATCTGGCAGAATAATAAATGAAAAAAAATGAAACTTATTTTCGTATTTGTACTCTTGTACAGGGAATCCCTAACGGGAAACACCTCGCAACAATATTATGATATGAGGTGATTGGTTGATTTCCCTGTTGGGGAATTACCTTAAGTTTTTAAAAAATCGATAAATCGAGAAATTAAATGGTGTTTGATAATTATCTTAAATCTAAATGCTGTATTAATAAATCCTACCCAGGTGAAGCCAGGTCACTCAAAATAAATGCAAATAATGTAGAATTTTCATATTTATTTTCAGAGAATTCAGTATTCAAAGACAGACAGTGATATCATTGCTAAAGTTAAGGGAACATTCCAAGAGAGGCCAAAGCGTCCCAAAGCACCGAGAAGTTCTGAAGATGGAAAGAAGAAGAAGAGCAAAGATGCTAATCGTAGTGTTATTCCAGGATTTGGACAACCCAATTTACTCAACAATGTCAATGCAGAACAACCGCCAAATCAAATTCTATTCCTTACAAATCTTCCTGACGAGACTTCTGAAATGATGTTATCTATGCTTTTCAATCAGTGAGTATTTTTTGTGTTCTATATTAAGCTTACCGTACATAAATCCATCTTACTGTGAGACATGTTTATTACTGCACATGAACATGTCTCACAGTAAGATAGATTTGATGTCATTGCCATATATAGCATGCAGATTGGTAATTACAGTACCAAATATTATACATATTTGACTCGCGGTGTTGTCAATCTGGCTATTTTATATCTGGTGTCACGAACTTGATAGTTATAGCATTGTATTACTCAATGTTTCTCAAGCATTGATTCTCCTTGACTTTACATATAGTAGTCATGCTGTAGCTATATTATTGGCTCAGTATAGTTAGCTCTCAGCTGGAGGAGTACCACATAATATCAGGATAAAATAGCAGCTTAATGCTGCTGTGTTTTGTATGGTGAGTGAAGAGTACCGGTGACCCTTTCCACTGGAAACAAGGCATTCGATCTTTATCTTTAGGGTCGACAACATATCTGCATCTCACTTCTTTCTGACCATGTGACATGGAGTTCAAAATAAGTGTAAATTCTAAATGATGAGGAATAGTTTATGTCTATTACAAACGGAAAAATTAGATTGAGATGATTGTGTCCAATCTAATAATGTTAAAGATAGTATTAGCAGAATGAACAAAATTGTGGAAACTGTGGTGTGACATTTTTAACATACCTAGTTATCAGACTTGGATAAAGTTTAATTATAATGTACATTGAAAACCTAGCTAGACTAGTGACTCTATAAAATAAATAATACAATAATACTTTGGTAACTAAGCCTAATACCATTTGAAGTAATTGGAGCTTCCTTTTAAGCAAATTCAAATAAAATGCATATTCAGCGATATATAAGCATATTTTCAGATATTCAACAAACCCTTCATTCGCAATTTCTGAATATTTATAGAGGTATCAAGACTTTGCTAATTATTAATTTCAAATAGCGTCATCTAAAAACTATAAGAAGTTTGGGTCAGAAGAAAAGGAAAGGAAAGGAAAGAAAAGAAGAATTGGCTAAGAGAACATCATTTTGTATTATTTTTTATTAAATTGCTAGTATATTTATGTATGTAGTAAAGCCATGCTGCAGTTATATTAGAAGTATAGTTGTAGCACAAATGAGTCGGCTCGACCGGGGAAGGACCACACTCTTACAGAATACCAGCGTAAAATAGTAGCTTAATGCTGCTGTGTTTCGTATTTTGAGTGTATAAAACCGGAGACTCTTTTTACTGGAAACGAGGCATTCCATCTTAGTCCTCATGGGTGATGACACATCTGCAGTTTGATTCATAATCGTAGATAGATGTAGATGTCTATGGCCCACAGCAACCATTTACCATCAGGTGGACTGTGTGCTCGTTTGTCACCCTATCCTACAAAACAAAATATAGTCAGCTAAATTGGAGTGATCATCTATTTAGGATAGCCCGAAAAATATATACTTGTAACATAAATCTATATATATATATATTGTTTATTTTTCAGATTTCCTGGGTTTAAGGAAGTCCGTCTTGTGCCAAACAGACATGATATTGCATTTGTTGAGTTTTCCAATGAGATGCAATCAGCAGCAGCAAAAGAAGCTCTACAAGGCTTTAAAATCACTCCCACTCATGCTATGAAGATAACATTTGCTAAGAAATAATCCTCTGTTAAGAATTTAGTTATAATAAAGATTTTGATATCTCTGAGAACTGTTTTGAGCATTGCACTTCGCCTAAACAGCTCTCTGGCTGTGATTAGTTTTAAGTAACCTACTTTGAGTTTTTTTTTGCACCTTAACTGTCTGATACTAAATAGTATCAATATATATCATGCACTGATGTGAAATAATAGCAGTTGCAACTACCAGTTGGGTACTTATTTATTTGAGTATTCCAAATTAATGATTGGTTCCAGCCATCTTGTTCAATATAAATAAAAAAACTTAAGTTTCGACAATTTCGAAATTCATAGATTGATAGAGACTTAACTAATAAAATCATATTTTTATATTACACTAAAAATCCTTTACTACTGGCTGTATGAGTAAGCTCAAAGTGGCTCAGCGAGCTACAAAGACGACTATGCTCTAGGTTTTCTGCATGATAAACGTAGAAATAAGGATATCCGCAGTAGAACCAGTGACCAACATAGCGCAACGGATTAAGCTGAAGTGACAATGGGCCAGCCATATATATATTCTAAAATTTTCAAAGAAACAAAACTTATGAACATTCAACAACTACATACATATAATACTTGCATTATAATTAGGAATATATATATACTAGATAAATCCATACTAACTTGTCTTTTGTAAAAAAATCACAGTCTTCATCGACCTAGCTTACTAGTATTACCAAAGGTACGGACAAACTATGCAAAAAAAAGCTATACATTTGAAGGAGCACAGATTTATAATAAATTGCCTTGTAATATAAAATATTAAAGATACAGGGTGTCCGGTGGCAGAATTAGGATTTAAATTTCGAACTGTTTTCGAACCGTTAGCGGAGGGGCGGGCGGGGGGGTCACGTTCGATTCGTCATTCGTGCGGGTTCCTTAGTCACGATGTCGCAGTGGACGGGTGAACAACGTGCGTTCGCAATCGAAGCTTATTTTAAAGCAAACGATTCCTGTGCTATTGCTCGTCGAAGATTTTGTTCGCGGTACAATATCCGACGGTTACGTGATGCGCCAAGCGAAAATTTGATTCGATTGTGGGTGCGGAGGTTCAGAAAAACAAGTTCAGCAGCAAATAATCCGCGGCCGGGATCCAGCAGAACGTCGAGGACTGATGACAACATCGAACTTGTCGCAAACAGTTTACGCGATAACCCGCGACAGTCCGTGCGTAAGAGAGCGGCTGCTCTAGGGCTCCCAAAAACGATTGTGCACGAAATATTGAAAAAGGACCTTAAACTTCACCCCTTTAAAATTCAAATTGTGCAAGCGCTTAAGCCTAATGATTACAATTGGCGCAAAAGTTTCTGCGAAACAATGTTGCAGCGATTTCGTACAGTGAACACAATCTTTTGGAGCGATGAAGCCCATTTTCATTTAAATGGAAGTGTAAATAAACAGAACTGCCGTTATTGGTCACCTAAAGGACAGAACCCGCGATTGAAACATCAACAGACACTTCACAGTCCCAAAGTGACGGTTTGGTGTGCATTGTCAAGCAGAGGAATAATCGGACCCTATTTTTTTGAAAATCGTCAAGGACAAGCCATTACTGTAACCGGCGTTTCTTATCGGCGAATGCTTAACGATTTTTTCCTGCCAATATTAAGAGAACATCCTGCCTACAGTTCACAGACATGGTTTCAGCAAGATGGCGCCACGCCTCACACTGCTAGAGAGACCATGGCGCTTCTTCGTGATTTGTTCCCTAACAAATTGATAAGCCGTTTTGCTGACATCCCCTGGCCACCCAGGTCGCCGGATCTTACCCCCATGGACTTTTTTCTGTGGGGGTACCTCAAAAGTAAAGTTTATGAAACCGCCCCACCGACCATCTCAGCATTAAAAGAAAATATCGTTCGCGAGGTTAATGGCATCCCGACGTCCCTTCTCCAGCGAGTGGCGCGCAATACTGAAGCCAGATTCCAAGAGTGTGTCCGACGTGATGGTCAACATTTAGACGAAATAATTTTTAAGAAATAAAACCCGCACTTCCCTTCTTTGTTATAGTCATTGAAATAAAAAAAAATATTTTGCAGTTTTTTTATTATTTAATTTTGAAATCCTAATTCTGCCACCGGACACCCGGTATAAGCTCATTTAGTAGTTTTAAGTCTCAGCTATCACAATACGTAATTGAACATTTTTCACCATTAAATTGAGGTTATGAAGTTACTGACCGAGTGTTCTGTGACTATTAGAATAAGTATACTAAAATGTAATTATTATTTTCATGTAAGTGGCATTGTTTGTCTTTTTTGAAAATAAAATTTCTTTAAACTCATATAGCTCAGAGAACCGGCAACCGATGGGAAAAAAGTTCTCTAGTAGCAGCCGCATACCGATGGGCGAAGTGTAGTGCTATCCCCCAAGAGATGGCGTGACGACCTGATAAGACATGAAGAAGTCGATGGATGCCGGTGGCTCAGGACCGTGTTCTGTGGCATTCCTTGGTGGAGGCCTATGTTCAGCAGTGAACTTGTGAAGGGCTGTAATGAATGAAAAAACATTAAAAATCACTTACCTATGCGGACTATGTGATTTGTTTATCGATAATAATATTGACAAAGTCCTCACCCTACGTTGCTTACGCATATGGACAGCGGCACCAGTGTATCGACACATACAATTAAATGCTATGCTTAAATGCAGTAAACACAAACACAAATGCTGTTGTTTGCGTGTATAGTGACGTGATTCAATTTTACATCTGTAGTGAAGTATACAGTAGTGTTATTTACTCGCGTCCCTCTACTGACTAATGGTAGTTAATATAGCGCCATATTATAGCGCGTGCTATGTAAGAAGTTGCCAGGGCGCTATTAAGTATTAATATCTAGTGGCAACTAGTTCTAGCAGCAGTGCTGTAAGGAGTGGACGTGTGACTCAACCGCTTTACCGCTTTATTTTAGTCTAAAACGCGACTTATTACGAAATAATGTTCTTATATAGCACGCGATCTATTCAAAGAACGACATGTAAGTGCTACGAGGTATAGCGTGCTGCATAACCACAGAACACATATACCCCTATGGATGGGTATATGTATGGGGATAAGTCGCTCGCGTCCGTAGGCTTTGACCACCTGTTCCTAGGCCCACCCTACACGTGTCCCCCGGGTGGTGCTAAATGAGCGACAAGCCGATACCACAGACTCGGCTCCACGCCGTGGTAGCGGCGTTAAATATACCACCCCATTTCGCACCATGAGGAATCGAATTAAAGAAATGGCCCCGAGTTCCCGGCGCCCCTTTAATGGGGCAGGGGTGCGAAGAATCTCCGGGAGGAAAACCGGCGACGAGGTTCGCCACCCGTCACGTTCTGTCTCCCGGAGAGGCGAAAAGTGGATTGCAGAGGCCCGTCTGGCTACATTGAATGTATGTGGGGCAATGAATGATAAAATGGATGAAGTATGCGATATGATGTATGATAGAGGAATAGATGTGTTATGCGTAAATGAGACGAAAAGGAAGGGGAAGGATGTCACTACACATGGCATGTATACCGCATACTGGTCTGGTGTAGACGAGATCGAGCGGGCATGCCAGGGAGTAGGTATCATCCTTTCAGAGAGAATGGGCCAATGTGTGAAAGAGTATGAATGTGTAAGCCCAAGACTGCTATGGATACGAATGAAAGTGAGCTTAAAGAAGTTGTTTGTGTTAGGGGTCTACGCCCCAGACATGTCTAAGCCCACTTATATCCGAGAGCAGTTTTGGGAAATGGTAAGGATGGTGTTAAGGAAGAGTAAGGGAAATGAAAATATTATTATGCTAGGAGATTTTAATGGAAGGGTTGGGGTCAGGAGGCTTGGTTATGAAAGGATATTGGGAACGTTTGGTGATGAAAGTATAAATGAGAATGGTGAAAGTCTCCTCACCGTATGTATGGAAAAAAATCTTTTTGTGACGAACACTTGCTTTCGCCACAAGAGGATTCACATGTATACTTGGGAAAGAGGTGACGATAGAAGCATGATAGATTTCATAATTGTGGATGAAAGATTGAGGGGCGCAGTGGTAGATACGAGAGTTTAGCGGGGTTCTAACATAGGAACGGATCATTATTTAGTTTTATGCCGAGTTAATGGTCTATTCAGGCGTTGGTGCCATCGATCGTCTGTTTCTACCACTGCGTTACAGCGTATTAGAACAGGAAGTTTACAAGATGAAAGTGATAAAAACAAGTTCAAATGTAGACTGAAAGAAAATATAAGTGGTTTGGATGAATTATGTATGAAGGAGTTAGACTTGGAGAATATATGGCAAAATGTAAAGAAAGGTTTAGTGGATGCAGCTACCGAAGTATGTGGTGTTAGTAAGAGAAAGAATGAAAGGAAAAATAATACGTTATGGTGGGATGATGAGATACGTATGGAAGTTGAAGCAAAGAAGAGAGCATGGCTAGATTTACTAGCAACAAAGGCTGCTAATTCTAGTGGTACGAATGGTGATATTGAAAGAAAAAAGGCAGTCTTTAGACATCTTCATAAGAGAGTAAAAGAAGTAGTTGAAAGAAAAAAGCAAGAAAGAACGGATAAGAATGATAGAAGAATATCGGATAACTTCCAGGCAAATATTAAAATGTTCTGGAAACTTGTAAGAACTGCCAGGGGACATTCAAAACAGCCTATGATGAATGCTATAAGAGACGAGAATGGCTGTATTCTGAATGATGAAGTTTTGAGTTTAAAGAGATGGAAGGAATATTTTGAAAGCGTGTTTATGAGTGAGGAGACAACGTGTGTACTAAGTGAAGTAGAAACACCGAAAGAAGAGGAAAGAGGTAGCGAGATAAGTATAGATGAAATAATGAAAGCAATGAAAAGCATGAAAGCAGGTAAGGCTGCCGGATATGATAGAGTTTCACTCGAAATGCTGAGGGCTGGAGAGGAAGTGGTGGCAGGCCTGCTGCACACCTTGTTTAATTTGTGCTGGGAACTGAAGCGGGTACCGGTAGACTGGTGCAAAGCCGTGATAG